CTCTCTCTCTCTCTCTCTCTCTCTCTTCTCTCTCTCTTCTCTCTCTCTCTGCTCCCCCTCTCTCTCTCTCTCTCGCCCTTCTCTCTCCCTCTCTCTTCTCTTCTCTCTCTCTCTCTCTCTCTCGCTCTCTCTCTCTCTCCTCTCTCTCTCTCTCTCTCTCTACTCTCTATCTCTTCTCTCTCTCTCTCTACTCTCTCTCTCTCTCTCTGTCAGTTGAATTGTTTATCTAGGTTCACATATTTGGTTATGACGATATGTGTAACTTATTCCGGTATGATCTTATTTCAGCAAAAAGTGGTAAGGGAGTCTGACGTTTTGCGTCATGTTATACAAAACTTGATTCGTGATTTAACTTGCACAGCCTGCACAACGCTGGATCAGAGCCAATTGACGATCGCTTTACCTGGAAATTGTGCTCATGAACGTCAGATATGAACAGCTCAACGATTATATTCTTGTTGGCCTTGAACTATGCATGGCTAATGGGGCGGCAGGATTTAGATAGCGTTCCCTTGGCGGCACGCGGTGCTGAATGACTTTGATATAGTCTACACGAAATGGTCTGCACATATTCGTGGACGTGTGACGCAGGAACTAGAGGGGTTTAAGTCCTGAGAAGGACAAAATTATGAACTGCATAGAATATTTTCAAAGTGATTTTTTATTCAAAACTTCATGTAAAGGTGTAACAACCCTAGCCGGGGGGAAGCTGACTTCCCCGACTGGGGCCCCAAGCTTCCAAACGCTGTATGAAAAAACAAAGCCACCGTTATAAAGGTCTCGTCAAATCATGAGAGTGCGCGACACATTTTTTAACTTAGGTCAAATGTGAGATTGCTAGACCTCATGAAAAGTGAAAAAGGTCGTTCCGATAGATGCAGTTAGAACCTATGTTAGCGCGTCGATACGAATGTTGAGGACCTCATTCGGGTGGGGTGAGGGGGCCAATTTGACCCCCTCGAGATCTCGTAAACTCAGATAGCGAGAGACGCCAAGTTGACAGGGTGCGTTGGTCTGCATATAAACTCACCTGTGTTTAAATTTGAGGCTCCTAAGTCATGAGCTTTGGTCAAATAAAATCACACAAGTTCAAACTACTGATTGGTGTACAAAGCGCCCAAACGTTCCTTACACAACTATCGTGAACCTATCACCCTCTATAAGGAAAAGGTCAGTGACGTTCATTTAAGGTCAATGAACTTTTTGCTCTTTAAAAGGTCAAGGTGACCAGAAAAATAAGAAATGGCTGCTGTTTTTCCGAAAAACCTTCGGGCGGGGTGGTCAAATTGAGCCCCACCCGAGCGCGTGTTGATGGTTCGAAGCGCAGGCAGTGATTTTTATCAGAACTGTTATCGATGATTTTTGACGACCCAATTGAAGTTACATGATGCACGAAGTGAGATGTTAGCGGTGGTAGCCGAAAGATGACTATAATAAAAGAGCTCAGATTTGCTAAAATGCGCGTTGCATCCTAGAAGTGACACAAGCCATACAAAATTGATATGGGCATTATATCTCTGCGGGGAATTAAATGCACCATGCCTCCGGCCTGAAACTTTTAAGACCCATTCGACTTAACAAACATATCGGATAATGCGACTTTTGCTACGTGCGGCAACAAGCCCAAACAAAACATACCCTCTTTAAGAAAACGCTATGGCTCTTCTACTTGCATTCATCTAGTCAGGGTCCTGGCGGCCAAAAACGTCTCCTACCCTGCGCAGTTGTTGCCAACTCGACCTGGGACAACCAGTTCATCCCCTAACCATTTTCACACCAGTTCAGTTGGGTGCAACTTGGACTGTATGCATTCAATCTTCGACAGGCTCGACCCGGGAGGGCTTTTGGCACTCCCCAAATGAGTAGGCCTGCCCGGGGCTGGTGTGCTCAGATTATCCAACGAAATTGATCGTGTCTGAGAGCATTGCTTCTTTTAAGACCGAATTGGCGTGCATAGCCCAAGCGAGTCCGTTGGATATAATTTTGCTTTTGCATATTTATCAACACAAAATATTTCTATCCGGATTGTTCCCCATCTTCATCAATCTGTAATTCCGGCAGAAATCAACGTTTCGGAAAAAGCGCGTCGTGCCATGTGGCACGCACAATGCATGTGAGTAAGGATATAAAGGTAACACGCCCATCTCTAAACCGCGTCCGTTTTTCAGAAAAGTGCAACAGTTTGGGTGGATGTCTTAAACCTTTAGAGCAGGGATACCGAGCATGTGTCTACGGCGGAACTGGATAAGTAAACAAAATATGTATAGTTGCGTGTTTCTGTAGGTGCTGATCTGTTCTGAGGAACTATCAAAATGTTTAAGGTGAATATACGTCCGAGCTTCATCTTTGAGCGCTACGCCTTGATTTTGACCCGCGTTGTTTTAGGGTGCACCCATTCGATGCATTAGTCCCTCTGAATGACATTTAAAGGCCAGGTCGTATCGGTCGGGGTCTTTAATGTGACCTACGGCCAGTTCTTCGGGGCTTTAGATCCACCAATTGAATCTTGATTGTCAATCCTGAGCTGCCCTCAGTTATCTCCTCGGGCCTTATCGAACACTGCCTCTGGTAAACTCGGAGCCCCTGCCAGCACAGGGCCCCCTGTTGGGCACTGTGGGCACCTGGCAGACACAATCGCCCGATACATGTAAATCGCTGACCCCAGCCTTGTCCCTGCTTGGGGGACAGACCATACGGCCGATACCAACACGGACCCAACCGTGCGTTACTGGTGGTGACTGGTCGACATAGAGACCCTTCTCGACTCAGGGGCCCCGATCGGCGTAAAAGGCCCTCTGACTGAAATTTGAGTGCCAAGCCCTGTGGGCCGAAAGGCAAGGGGTACGTGCCTCCTGAGCCCGTGCCTACGCCACTGCCCGCGGTCAAAGAACAATTTCTCCTCGCTTAGCCGTATGCAACCCGATAGCCGGGAAACTAAACGTTTTATGCGATTCGAGGCATTTAGAATGCCATTTAGTTTATCAAGGAATGTTTGCTACGTGCGCTTAGGTGTTGAATATGGCAGTTACCCATATGCTGTACAAATGTGCACGCTGCATGTCCTGTAAAATACATGTTACACAAACATACGGCTGCAGAGTGTAGCTCATCACCATTGCAATTTTCCACACATTCTTCGTGGCCCGATCGTCTAGCGGTGCTCAACGAATCTCGACTTCTGTCCTTCTCCGCTACTAGCGCCAGCACCAGCGGGCCTATTCCGTCGGTGCAGTGTTTCGGTCTGCTTCCGGAGGTGGGGCGTCCGACGGCGGCGTGGAGTCACAGCAGTCGCTGACCTGTTTTTCGGGCATTTAATCCCCCCCCCCCCCATCCAAATCTTTGTCATATAGGTCTGCGTGAGGTAAATGGAAACTGGGGATGGAACTGCGTTTTATTGGGAGAGGGGAGGGCGAGGGCGAACCCATGCACCATCTTGTCTCCCAAACTCTTTTTCACGTATTTTGTCTACTTTATCCTGTGGTTACAATGTGCACTTGATATTAGAAAAAACTTTGAATTTCTGGTTTTTCGATATCATTAGCTCAAAGTTGTTATTTTCGGCAAGTAATGATTAAACGGCGTTGTGGTGCTGAACAACGATTCTGCTGGCGGCGCGTAACGTTTCGAGCTGTCCAAGTGAGCACATCCTCAAGGGTTTGTCTCTTGAGGTTAAGCATAGGACAACAGAGAGGCGTTAGTATCTTAGCATGTTTCTTCATAGATGTCTCATAGCTTCCGATAATGTGATGTACCGATTGTTCACCTTGTTTTGGTTCAAAGACGGACTACTTGCTGGCGATAATCAGCCAATACTTAGCCACAGTACGTGTCTGTCAAAGCGGACACCGCACGTGCCCATGAATGGTGCCGCTCTCCGGAAGGCTGCGGGAAGGCAATGATTCAAGGAAGCCCGCGGGCTCCTCCCGCATGTGCCAGCCACTGGGGCTAAAGAAGACACTTTACTGAATGGTGTGATGGCAATGTTCCAGTACTGTCGAAATTTGATCGCACCAATCTCATGGTAAAATAATACCAAATTCCTCACTGTCTCGTGGTCGGTCAAGGTCGGTCGGTCGTCATCCATCATTGCGATAATGAATTCTATACTTGTTCCACAATGGAACGTGCACCTTAAGTCCAAAATCCGTGCAAGGGCGGATACAAGAAAAGAAAACAGGACCATCGGACCCAATACAGCAAAAAGCAGGCCCTCTTAGCCCTCGCCCTATCAGAGAACCTCAAGGGCCCTCCCTAAGAGTTTTCCGAAACAAGTTTCCTACGGTTTTATATACGGCACTCAAAATCTTGGCAGCGTTTGGAGCTTAAATCATGTCTTACCATGTCGTTAAGGTTTAAGAGCCACCATGCAGGTTTGTTTCCAAAACTTGAATTCCAAGACGTGGAGACATGGATGACGACATGTCAGTGGTTTTCTGAGAAGCTCAAGGAGGCATCAGATCTTCCGGACGATCTCTGGTTCACTAATGAAGTACATGTGTTGTTTAGTGGTCATGCTGACTTAAAGATTAAGGTATATCGAGTCGAATGGCAGCGACCTCTGCACTCGGTGAAGTATTCCACATGATGATGGTGACGACCATGCATACTCCTATTCGACAGATCAAATTCAAGGAAGATGACAGCTACACAGCTCAAGTTAGTACGCAGTGGTGCATCAAAGTCGTTAGAAATTCTGGTGGTATCCGGGATCAGCGCACGCACAGACACGCCTGTGAGCGGTTTCAACAAGACGGCAACACACTTTAAGGTTCCCACGAGTCATTGCAGTAGATGCTGGATCACTTCGGCGGTGATGTGACCTGTCTCGACCTTTCTTTCTCTCGTTTCATGTCGTCTGCTCGACTCGACATGAAACGAGCAGCTCATCGGCCAACCTATTTTAGACCAGGTCAGTTGGGTCCAACTTGGGTTGTATGCATTTCGTCTCTGACAGGTCATGTTCAAACTTGTCTATGGCGCCAAATAATTCCTCCATCTGTTGTGCGATGATCACCCACGCTACGAAACAGTAAAGGACCCCGCACGCAATACAACGAGCCTTTTAAATGACTTACATTTAAGACCATGTTGAACAGCTATACGCCAGTTCAAACGAAGCTACAAGGTGCTGCAATGTATTGAAATAACCACTATAGAACAGATTTTATGCAGTGAAGAGCGAGGCTGAGCAAGCGCATTCAAGCTGTACTAGACAAGCATGGCAGCTGCAGTCACAGCCAAAAGGCGATGACACAGATGACCAGATGCTGCATGCATGCAGTCATAAGTTAAGATCAAGACGTTGCTTTTGCATCGAAATATCAGCATCCCTTGCATGCATTTTCATCAGTCGAACAAATGTAATTTATAGATACATATATATATATATATATATATATATATATATATATATATATATATGTATATATATTTATGATATTAATTACTATATATATTATATACATAATTACTATATATAAACTATACCCATACATTTATATAATATACCATATATATATATATATATATATATATATATATATATATATATATAAATTGAGCAAATGAAGATCAGCAACAACACCAACATCAAGGTACACCGACAGCAGCGAAACCTATGCCTAGCGGTGCTTATCCGTTTCACACTTCTCTGACTCAGTATGATTTTGCCCCAAGAAGTTTGGTGCAACTGGTCGCATGATGCTCTTTAAAAGGATGTTAATGTGGTGGGCCGTAGTAAAGCATTGTTGCGAATACAAGTGCAATGAATACCACCCAAAAGAAAAATAGATATGTTTGATCCCAGTTGATCCCTAATGCATTGGACGTCATGTGTTTGCAAACGCCGTAACGTACAGCCGCCGGCATTGAGTAAAACGCTGTAGGAGGGTCGACCGAATACATCTAACACGGTGGCGCGCGAACAAACGTGTTTTCCCCGGCCGACGCATTCTGGTCATCACGCCACGGGCAGGCCGGTCGCAGTTAACAGTACGCTTAAAAGGGAGCATTCCACATTTATATGATAATTTTATCTGAGACAACCAGTTTGAATATTACTGGGTGCGGTTTACAGCCCTGCCGTTCTTAAGACTTGAACCGTCTAGTTTCTGAGCTAGACGCCCGCGAAGTGGTGCAGAATATTCCATGGTCGATAAGCAAGTACGTAGTGGCATTCGCCGCACACAATGAAAGGTATTTTTAATTGGTCACCGTGACTTTTCAAATCACCAGTCCTAGAGGCCCGCCAGCATTGAGTGACGCTTCGGGGTCGACCAATTGAAATGGATATCTTAATCTGACAAGCGCAGTGTACTGGAAGCTGGTAGACCTGTACCGGTGTTATGGAATGCACACCACCGCACTGTTTCTGAGTGAACATAATTCTGCTCTCCTGGCCGCCACACTCCGGTTATCATGCTAGTGGCAGACCGCCAGCAGTTTTCATTGCGCCGTCAAGGGGTAATCTGCACAAAAAGGCCATGCCGTCCGGGAGAAACTCACTTTGCCGACTGACAGCGGTCCCATGATGACATGTACGCATAGTGGCATGCTTTGCACATATTTCATAATGGTCCCCGGAACTAAGCAAAGCAACGCTGCGGGCGTCACGTTACCATTGGATGAAACACCTTCGCGAGGTTAACAGAACAAAACTGATTCTATAGTCGTACAAATACTTTGCACTGGCGGCGGATGGTCCTTTAGCAGCGCTATTGAATGCACGCAGTCGTAGTCTTCACCTGCGATTGTAATCTTTTCTGGGCCGCCATAACTGGCCATCACGCTGCGGGCAGGCTGGGAACTGTTAGTCATCCGCCTTAAATCACGTACAAAGGAGACATTTGCGTATTTAGGCCGAGGTCGACATTACAGGTTTGTAACGATTGTACATAACGTTGAGGTTCACTTTGTCTTGTGCTGTTGTTAAATTTTCCGATTCAAACTTGGAGTTTGCTTCAAAATGCCTCGTTTGTTTGCTTCAAAAAAATCCGTTTGTTGGTCTGCCCTGTGTTCGCCATGTGAAATGCGCTCCTGCTGCACAAGTGCGCTCTGAATGTGTTCACACCGCCGATTTCAACGCCATGCTCTGTTTTGCTTACAAACAGCATCCGTTGGCAAAGGCTGCATGGGACCCTTCTTGCTAAGGTCTTCCGCATGCATTGTTTTTTCGGTCCATCAACACATACATGACCAATTGTCCCCCCAGGTGATCGCGCAGGGTTCGCGAAGGTTGATTAACACCTGTTTGGGTGAGAGACTTAGTTTGCCCCCCCAACGCACAACGTTCTGTGTATTCGCGATGAGACTGCGTTCTTTGTCGCCACACGGTGCGTACCGAATTGCAGTGACGTATGATTGGGGCTTTCATTGGCCTCAAATACTAAAAAGTCTTCGTCTCTTTCTGGTTTGACCACAGATCAATTATCAAGAAATGTTACAGGTTATTTGCGCAGTGTGTCCAAGAACTTCAAATATTCACGTATCATGTCTAGTTTTGCCGGCAAGAAACATCCAGTATGTTGAAAGTCGTCATTCTTTTAGCATAAAATGACTCGTAATACCGCAAGTTTAGTCATATTCACGTTCCCGTGTGCTAATGTCCGATAGACGGCGCACTAGTGCCATATATAGCATCATATGCAATACGGGCTACGAATCACAGGCTGCTGCACCAAAAATGTTGCGATGATTCACACTAAGTAATAGGTTGGAAGAAAGTTTGCTAAATAGCATCATTGTTTAGCTAATGGCTATCGAACTGTTCCTGAATGTAAGGGTAAGGGTATCTGAATTTTGTGCTGTCCTAGTTACGTAACAAAGGACGTTTGTTTGTTTTTTGTTTTGTTTTTCAGTGCCCGACAAAGATTCCGATTTCAAAGATATCTTCAGCTCCGCGAGGTCTTGTGCTTTTGCCATAATTTCCACCCAGAAGTTAATGTGTTTTTACACTGTGCTCAATGTTGCCCCCTGCCTACCTGCCATAAGTTCCCCTAGTGATGCACATTCCCTAGTGATGATCGAGTCGCTTACGACACTGTACCCCTGGACAAAGGTTACAAGGGATCTCACAATGCTACGTTATTCCTTGTATATTACAACTTCGCTGTAAACGCATGCTCAAAAATAGCTACCTATACTTGAGACTCCTGGGATGATCGAACTAGAATTGGCTTTGAATTAGGGCCACGAGTCTGCGTTACTGCAAGGCCATGCAGCCTACCTCGTCCTTTGATAGCATTTATGTTTTCACGGATTGGCATGTGAAAACGGGATTTTTGCATAAATATAATTTGCTTCCTTAACATTTTTACATCATTTCGAGCCTGATGTAGAGTGACGTCGAGAATGAGCAGCACAAGATGGTGGTGCTGGATATTCCTTACTCTGGAAAAGGCTAGACGTTTAAGCTAGACGGCACGCCCTCTCTCAAGTTGCGCAACACAGAGTATGCGGCACCTTCTACAAAATTGGAAGCTTCTTAAACAGTGCTCGTATATAGGCAAACAGTCGGAAATAGCAGCATCTAAAGCTACAATGCGGTTCATGCTACTAAGAGCCTGTTCCACAGCTGTATATGCGCTTAAACTGAGATAGCCACTCTCATGACCATTCACTGCAAATTACAGTCATGTGGTTTATGAGCCTTCAAATCGTCGTGTGTGTGAGCTTGATGCACGTGAAACTAGGTTTGTGACGCGGTGCCTATGGGAACATCACACTGAGACGTACAACGCCATAAAAACGTCACGTGAGCAACCCACCTCATTAACTGTGTTGTGCTTATGGCCAGTCAAGGTATGGACACTTTAACATTCATGTTCGCGGTGATGCGTCAACAAATGTGCCACCGACGGGAGGCAACTGGTCAATAATCAGATGTCAGTGCTGACTGCAAGTCTTGATCATGGACCGCATTTCGCCATAAATAACGTGGGCATTTAGGCAACGTTTAGATGTAGCAGACGTGAGCCTGAGGACCTGATAACTTAAAAAAACCCGCAACAGAAAATGTAAATGTGAGCGAAGAAGATCTACCACGGAAAAAAACACGCAAAACCAACACACGCTCTTTCGTTGAGCTCACACACATAGGTCAACAACACCAACTTGCAGCGTTTATGAGTGCCACAGGTGAGTCTCGCCGTCCGCTACAGCAGCAACACTGACGCGGCAACTCTGGCAGTGGCTCTCACATAATAAACTTTTGATGACACAATTAAGCGACGCAATGAGAACCATTTTTATGAAAACAGTGAAATTGTGTGATGGGGAACAGCCTTCACTAAAAACAGTCAACACTAAAAAGCACATCAACAGTTACAAGTGAGGCTTGTTCCATCAAAAATGATGCTTGTCTTGACATCTCAAAATGTGGAACATTCTCATTTAAGCTCATCCAAACCATCTAACGGACTTCTTAATTTAATGCATTTTCATTGTACATTCATTTAAAAGAGCCGCGGGCCATGAGCGCTCACCTAAAAATCAGCTTGTTTCTTCCTTCGCGGACTCAGTGTCTCATTGGGTTTGCAACACTAATATTCACTCTTCACAGATGTTGGATTGTGCTGCCCTGGAGCGGTTTCGAGCCCGCTGACCTTCCAGCTCAGCCCCGCCAACCAACATATAGTACGCGACATGCAATAGTAGGTGTTTATTCAGTCAAATAACGATCGCAACGGGGACACTCATGAAAAGCTACCTACATTCACCATAAGCGGACAAGGTTGCATTGCACAAGATATAACGCATGCGCGTTATCGGTCCTGGACGTTTTTCTCCTGAAGGATGTGGTAGGAGGCTAAAGAGCCCGATCAGTACAACATAACGGACGTGTTTGGCTGACATGAAGTGACGATTGTGGACAGTGTTACCCATCCCATTTAAGATTTAAATTATCCTCTGACGCACAAGGAAACAAAGCTGACTTACATGTGATCGGCACGCATGTTGTGACGCTTTGGCTGGCTGCAAACGAAACTGATCGTTTGCGAACTCAGCGGCGTGTACGTGTGAGGTAACTGTGTGGCATGACCGGCCTACATTAACCGCACGATTAACGACTATGCTTCGCTGAGCCCTCCCGTCAAACAACACTAAATTAGTCGTGATTTTCGGAAAACCCCGCTGCTAATCAGATGCTGCTGAATGGCCACGTCGTGCATGGGAAACAAAGCAGCGTTTGGCAAGCGATAGGTTACAAATGCCTGCATTAATCTGCTATCAAACTGGCACCCTGGAGACCTTGAGTGTTCTCCAGGAGCGTCTTCTCGACCGTCTTAAATGCGGCACTCACCTACTCCCACTTTCGCTCAACACGCTCCTTTAAATAGAACGCTACTGATGCGAACGGTCTGGCATTTAGAGAATGCTCAATGTTTCTTACACATGTGGAGTGCGCATGAGATCGGTCAGCGCTCTCCATGTACTCTTGTCGTTCGGGATCAATGATTATTTGATCCGAACCGCGCACTGAAGACTAGACAACGTTGCCTTGCGGCGTACACCGGGCGTATACTGAGAACAAGTCGGCGTTCTCTCCGCAGTGTGGCCGGAAGATTAGTTAGTGTTCTCTCCACAGCACCTATGGGAGGTCAGCCATTGTTCTTTCGTCTGCACGCCAATTAGAATAGTCAACGTTCTTTGGGTGACGTCCTTGTACGACCAGTCGACGCTCTTTAGGCAGCACGCCCGGTAGCCCAATCGGCATTCTCTACGCATCACGCCGTGAGATCAGTCGGCGTTCTCCATGTGGTACATGTCGGAGAGCAGACGGCTGACGCCGATCTCGCCGGTAGTCTCCTTGAAAAAGAGCGTCTCTACGGCGGTGGCGGCCACCGAACGCAGCGCTGGGATCAACAGCAGCAGCCGGCCGAAGCGGGTCGGCTGGCGCAAGAAGCGCGCGCGCACGTAGTCGCTGAGCACGCACTGCGCCTGGTCCTGCAGCATCTCCACGGGTCGAGTGTCAGCCAGGCGAGGCGTCTCTGCGGTGGGCAGAGGGCAGAGGGCGTCAAACGGGCAGCGCGTATAGTGTGGCGGGGATAACAGGACGAACAGCCGACCAGGCGAGACACGGCAGAGATTCTTGCTCAGCACGACGCCCGGAGACATAATGCGCATGCACAAAGCAACGACACATTTCCTACTGCAACATAATATATTATGCTCACAATCCGTCACTTAAGACTCGGTACAAGCAATGCCAGCAACTCATCGAACAGCGAGGCAGGTACGAACCTGACCCGCTGCCCCACCCAGTACTGGTGACGAGCGCCGGTGCGCCTGAACTCGGCGCGGCCGGCTGCGGGCCGTCACTGACCTGGCTTGAAGAGCACGATGGCCCGTAGGCAGCCGCACTCGGTCATGTCGGGCGAGAGCTGCCGGAACCGGCACAGGATGTCCTGGATGATGCGCACGTCCGCGCGACACCCGCCGCCCAGGCGCGACTGCGCGTGCGCCGAGTCCAGCAGCGAGGACAGGTCGAACGGCAAATACCACTGAGCTAGCTGGAGGAGGAACAGGTCCTTCCAAGACTCCTCCAACAGCAGCACCTGCGGCAACGCAGCGCGGAGACACCTGTACATTCCTGATAGAAAATTGAGCAAACAGGCTGTTTGTGCATCATTTACCGCAATGTCTGTTCAGACTTCAATTCATGTTGTCTGTTTATGCTTCGCCAGGTGTAATGCGAGAAACCCTTGCTCGTTTCGGTTAATGCTGTACTCCTAAAAATAAACCATTTTTTCAAAATTCAGATTTCATGAACTAAAAAGCACGCAACATCACTGGTTTGTGCTATCGCATGCACGCCGTAAGCAATGGCATAGTTCTGTGACGCTGAAGTTTCCTGGTTCACCGTGAAGATAAGCCAGTATTTTGTTCTCATCTAACGCTTACAGGTGAGGCAAGCAAGCAGACACTACACTCTTCAGTTTTGTACAATAATTTGGGTGATATGGCACCTCATGTTGTGTAGAGCAGCGCATAACAGGAGCTGGGCCGTGACGTCAGGCGTGACGTCACTCTGCGGCCTCACCTGGTCCCGTGAGGAGAGCGTCTGGTAGGGCGCCAGGCCGCGCACCCAGCGCACCACCATGAACAGGAGCCGCGCCGTCGTCTCGTGGAAGAGGTCCCAGGAGGGCGTCAGCGTCAGTGGCGCCGGGTACAGCAATGGCGGCCGGTCGTCAGCGCCGACCAGCTTCGGCACACCGAACGGATCCTGCGGTGGCCGCGGCTTTGTGACGCTGTCGACGCCGATCAAGTACATCTCCGGACGTTGTGCGTCATTTGCATGCTTTGCGTCGCAGATATTCACCAAGAACCAACCCCTGCAGAACAGCTTGTAGGAATAAGGAGCATGCCTTGGTGGTTTGAACCGTGTGTAAAGCGAACCAATGTTCATGAGATATGCGCCGAAATACCTGGCTGATGACGGATGAACGACGTGGTGACTGGAGGGGTCACGTATTCTGGAACTTGATGCATTTCACTCTCTGATCTGCATCCTCACGAAGGCGTAGTACAAACCAACGATGGTTTAAACGGGAACTTCGCACGTTTTGAGGTCGCATTGGCATGCATCACAACACGGTGCACGCTTAACAGTGTAATCACATCTATTGGTCTCACCTGGATTGCGTCTGGTGCTCTGTGTTGCGCAAGGAGGGGCTGAGTGGGTCCAAACGCAGGGGGTGGCATCAAAAATTCGTTCCCTCGCCCCAGAAACACGGGGACTTTCGACTGGTCTCCTTCAGCCAAGTCCTTGTTTTTATTCTTTCTGGGCCCTCGTTCATGTTGTACTGCTGCAGAAATACAGATAAGTAATTGGATAAATACGATGCCTCAGCATTCGATAAAACGTCCATTGAAATGATCATCATATTTTCAAATTGGGTAGCACAACACAACCCATTTTCTCAGTATTCTTTTCTCTCTCCTTGCTGCATTCAAAATGGCGGTATTTTGTAACCCGTTCATTATTACCTTGTAACGGGTTAAACGAAGATGCTAATGAAACTGCATCCAAACGCATCTTCAGATAAAAACCACATAGTGACGATGCAGTGGCTGATAATGTGCTGACTGCTGAATGTTATGCATGCACCTAGGCACATGTAATTGCGTTCATTTATCATTTGAAACATCCATGCCGGAACGCTTGCAGCGTGAATACGTCTTGATGTCATAAGAATTAACTTAACGATCATGCTACATCGCATGCGGCCACTTCCTCCTTGTTACAAATGTGCTGTTTGTGGATGCAATCTGAACGGCTGCTTTCGATTGCATTCACGACCTCTATGGTATACAACTGCAAGTCATAAACAGTGGTCAGGTTTTCACGTCATTTTGTAATATCGTGTGACGGTCATGCTAGAGTTGGCTTGATCCTGATGAGAAATGCAGATCATACGCTTAACGTGCACTTTTAATCTAATGAATGAGAATCTCTGTCGTTTGGTCGCTAATAACTCCAACGCCAGTGCCGATAAATCTTAAAGTCGTAAGTTTTCCGAATCAATGTGGCAAGAGAAAGGTGCGAGTAACACTTTGGTCCAGGTCAGACCACCGTGTGTGGTGTGGCGTAAAAAAGCTTGCCCCATATAGGGTCAGCACTGGCAACGGCGGGCTCTATGGTTCTGGAGTGAGCAGCTGACCAATTCGTCCTGTCACCTGAGTTTAACGACCGGAAAAGGAACCCCTGCAACCGTAAGATTTCTTGACGCAGGAAGACAGCTGCAGCAGGGTCGCAGCGCACTCCGGTATCCAGTCTGCACTTGCCAATCGCCATGTTGTGTGGTGTAAGGCCTCGGTCATGTTGTGTGGTGTAAGACATCGGTCATGTTGTGTGGTGTAAGGCATCGGTCGTGTTGTGTGGTGTAAGGCCTCGGTCGTGTTGTGTGGTGTAAGGCCTCGGTCGCGTTGTGAGGTGTAAGACCTCGGTCATGTTGTGTGGTGTAAGGCCTCGGTCATGTTGTGTGGTGTAAGACCTCGGTCATGTGTGGTGTAAGGCCTCGGTCATGTTGTGTGGTGTAAGGCCTCGGTCATGTGTGGTGTAAGGCCTCGGTCATGTTGTGTGGTGTAAGGCCTCGGTCATGTTGTGTGGTGTAAGGCCTCGGTCATGTTGTGTGGTGTAAGGCCTCGGTCATGTTGTGCGGTGTAAGACCTTGGTCATGTTGTGTGGTGTAAGGCCTCGGTCATGTTGAGGGGTGTAAGACCTCGGTCATGTTGTGAGGCATAAAGCTTCGGTCATGTTGTGTGGTGGAAGACCTCGGTCATGTTGTGTGGTGTAAGGCCTCGGCCATGTTGTGTGGTGTAAGACCTCAGTTGCTCAGCGCCCGGTCCGTCCCCTGCTCGGCGGTGCCAGAGCCAGGCAGCGACCGTAATGAATGACCTCTGGGGAACACGTGGCCCCACTGACTGGTCAGCTGGTTAAGCAACGATTCAGTGGAATAGGGAGACATATTTCGTGTAAGAGACCCTTACGCGATAATCTAGGCCCGCTATGTAACTTATGAGAATAACGTGTTACGTTTGTGCTTACTTTCGTTGATATTGAACGTCCGGTGATGATGCATTTTTGCCATTGTATTAGCGGTATTTCAAAAGCAAATGATTTGTGAACAGAGGGTTTAATGCAGGTCCCACTACTGAACACAATATAAATACGAATACATGCTGCATAGGTACGATCGTTTTCGAATATCAAACTAAATAAAACTACACCAAGTTGTTCTTACGCAAAATATGTATTTTCAGCATTCGGGCATCGCCGGGGTTTCCAGGTAGTATTTAGATGGCACATGTCATTTTGATATTTCATAGGATTTCAGACCGTTGTTACGAACACGTAAAGGCAATGTTCCACATTTGCAGATATCAAAGCAAACGCCAGATATGATGAAATGAGCTCACTTATAGCTATTAGTATAATTTGAAGTGGAAAAGGCCCTCTAGACAACACGCTTTGTCTGTTTAGCAAATGTGCTCCGCAATAGATCATTGTCCGATTGTGACATCGCTGCTTGCAAAACACTGAATGAGAAACAACTGACGGCCGTTAAATCTGGAAGCCATGCTTACGAATGGCACAGATGAATAAATCGACAATTACACTTTCTTGGCCTTGATCGCTGCATGACCGATGACATCACAGGATTTGAATGACGTTATTACGCCATCATGGATGCCTGGTGGCCTTGAAATTGTCCGCACGAAAACGTCTGAACATCTCCTTGGGCGTTTAGATTAGAGACTTGGAGGGTTAGGTATTAAGGACAGGGCTGTGAACTGCACTGAATGACCTTCAAGATGGCTACGTCGGTTCAAAACCCCATACCTGTGGAATACACCCTTCAAGCGAATCATGTTTGCTTTTCGTAACCACGTGGTATTCGTCTAGATATCATCATAATGTACCAAGGAATAGTATTTTGCAAGAGTCTTAACGATATAGCAGCGCAAATAATTTTATTATTCTTTGAAAGTACTCCTTCAAACACAGAAGCTGCACTGTTAAAACAATAAGCTTTCAGTGCTCTTCACGTTTAATATTACGAAAATATGATTATATAAACAACTTCTCGGGCCGCATTGCAGTTCTTCATCATGTGGTTTTCTTAGATGCTCAAAAGTTTTCAACGCACAATTCAAATATTAAAAATTTACATCTTCAAATGATGCTTATTCCCGCCTCAATGATGGAGGCATAAAAATGACCCATATGCCACTTATTTTCCGGGGGATGAAGACCCATATATTTTACATATCACACAACATAGGCCAAATGTAAATATATGGAAATGCATTTCTTGAAGAAGGAATCGTCAAGGATGCAGACCGGCCTGCGAATTAGAACATAACTAAACATAAAAAACAACCACGGGACAAAACAAGTGATGTGACTCTCATAAGCTTCCACGGGACAGGCTCTGCTCTTGATGGAAGCGCCATCCCATGACATTTAAAAACAACTAAAATAGACACTGATCATAACCAAAGAGCAGGTAAAACAATAGCTTCCCCAGCCCTGACACCAAATGGGAGCACCAAAGCACCCTGCGTTTGGGCGAATAATGATGAAAACAGCTGCGACACGCTCATCAGGCCAGCCCCATCATTGATTTGACGGCCTTCTGCCCGGAAGGGTGTGACGGCTCTCGAGCTCCCCGACCGGACGCATTAGCCGCGTGCGTATAAACGTGCCCGCGGCCGGGGTGCCTCACAAATGACGCCCCTCCGCCGGTCGCTCCCCGCCGCCGGCTCTCGTGTCGGAACTAATCCCTGCTCCCCTCCGCGATCCCGGAGCGCGTGGCACTTTCCCACACTATATATCACCGTCATGTCAATAAGTACTTTAGTCCGCGCCCAAAATGGTTATTAGAGAGCAGACTGATTGACCGGCGCGAGAGGACCTTGGAGATCAACAGGAAAACAGCTAGTGGCTAGCCCCGGCGAGAGACGGCTGGGCAGGCCAGCGACTCTCGCCGCAGCGCGGAGCCCTTTTTCTCGTCAGCGGTCGCGCTGTCGGCCGCTGAGCGTGCCCGAGCCCGAGTTTATCTTCCTGTGATGGAGGGAGATAGATGGGCTTGCTCCTGTCAACGGGATACACACAAGTAAGTCGTGGGAACGGCAAGGTGTGGCCATCAGCGCCGGAGAGGCCAACCAACGGCCAAATGTCGCCACCAGGTCAGCCGGGCGGCGCGGCGCGGGCGAACGGGCGCCGGCCGGGGCCGATCGCGCCGCCTCGGCCACGGGCAGGTCACGATGGCGTTGGGGTTGGTGCGGGGCACACAACATCGAGGTTAGCAAGTGCTGCTGACAAACATGCAAGACTGGTCTTTGATTTAGCTTAAAAAGGAGCTTAGTTTCTTTCCTACTGTATCAAGGACTTGTTATCAGCGAAAACATTTTAACGAACAACGTCAGAAACCCTATGCGGGTGGCCAATGACAGTGAGCCAAAACACTCGATGAAAATAATTTGATGAAAACAGACCGACTTGAACGCTAAAAAGGACGCCTGTTGCTCACCACCCAAAGATGGTAAAATAAAGTACCGTTACTCAAGTACGCAAAGGTGACAAAGTTAAGTACGGCAAAATCAAGGGCCAGTACTCGCCGGGATTGGAGAGTGCCGTAAGACGACTGGGAAGGAATGAGTCCCATAGTCCCGCCAGTCGGCGATGCTCAGAGATTGATCCAGCCGTAATGTAATAGCTATAAACTACGTTATGTCCAAGCATACTTAAGCACGTTTAAGGACAGCGGGACGAGGCCGGGCCGAGGTCTCGCTTTCCGTGGCAATCGAGCAGTTCCCGCACGTTGATGCACCATGAAATCGATTTAAGTGTGCATTATAACGTCGTGTTTCGGTGTCATGGACTGCAGCTGTTTTCAAAAGTGAGTTCCCACTTCCAGAGAGGTTCCTACGCTCCCGATGCTGGTGAGGCTTGCCCTTGGGCAACCCAATAGTGCAACACGATGCATTTGGTTAAGCATGCGTGGCTTGGTAGAGACTTTTCACGGCCTTTTTCTTCCTCGGCGTTGTTGTTGAGGTCTGCTGTATCCCTATGGAATGCGTCATTTATTGAGACAGGCAGTCAACCTCCGGCTCTGTCTAGACCTTATTAATGTGGCTTCGTTCGGCACATTTTTGACGGAATGTTTACTTCAGTTCGCTTGCCCAATTTTAATGATGATATATCCATCGTTAGGTGCCTACGACACTCATCTCGGCTTAACGCCACCGGCGTTTCCGGGAGTGACCGCTGACTCCTCACACCCATTTGCTGCCGGTTCAGCTCACCTGCCAGCACCTCCGCCGTCTTCACCTGACCCCAGCAAGCCGCTCAGCAGCCGGCCCCGCCGCCGCCTGGCCCGACCCCGGTCGGCCATTGTGCCGCTGATGGCCTGCCGTTGGCCCGGCCGCGCCGCCATTCCGCCGCCCATTCTCTGGCGGCCCGGCCGGCGGCGCTCGTTTCTGCCAACTCCGGCCAATCAAAGTTGGCCACTTGTTCCGGCCGCGAACGGGCCGAATCGTGCGGCGAGCGCATTTTATATCCCCCAGGTGGCGAAATCACCGGCGCCGCGGGCGACGCGAGTCGTTTGCATTCGTCTTTTCACAGAGTTAGCGCTCGCCGCGCACCGGTTATGACCGGTCGACGACAAATACGGCGCAGCAGCTGACACGATCTCACCGTTACGGGCCGCGCGGCACGGCACAATTACGCGGCGGCGGCAGGACGGTGGTGCGCCGCTCAGAGCGCGTTAGCTCTCGGCGGGTGCGGCTCTGATTACGTTGGCTCGCCGGTGCGGCGGTGTGTTCTGCTAATAACTATCCTCACAGTGACAGCCGAATACAATGTTTGTTAGGTTTCTGTAGCGTGACACGATCACGTTAGCTATCTGTGAGTGTGGCGCAGTCACGTTGGCTTTCCGGGCTGCAGCTGAGGTTTTCCGGGGTGTTTTCGAGATCACGCATGGAATCATTCGCACCGTAGCCTCCGCTGACGCTGCACGGCTTGGATTAATCCATGGATGCTGCACCCAATCTGTGGGTGGTATCCATTTCTGCCTTTTCCCGATCCCGATTGGATAAGGAAATCTCGAACAGCACGGATTGCTATAAGATTGAAAAGCGATATTTGATGTCATTCTTTTAAAAACTGTTTGGATTATCCCAGCCTTGTAATCTCGTTGGGAGATCAGTAGGCTCCATGTGAGTGTCAGCGGAGATAGTTTGGTGGCAGATGCACCTGCGCTGTCCACGGTCGACTGCATACTACACACCAGAACCCATACAAGATTATCAGCGACTAGCAAAACAAGGGTCACATTGATCTTACAATTCTCTAAAAGGGGCTTCGGGATCGCGGCCGTAGTCAGGAATGGTGAAGAAGAGGACCTAGCCTCTGCTATGAAGATCCCGACTCTAAGCAAATATTTTAACGTGCCAGGCTGGTTGTCCTGTGTCATGGCTGGCTGGTTGTCCTGTGTCATGGCTGGCTGGTTGTCCTGTGTCATTGCTGGCTGGTTGTCCTGTGTACTGTGTCATGATTGTCTCTGTTCCGGTCTGGCTATATTGGTCAGTTGCCAACTGACTGTCAAAGATGATCCACATGCGCGCGGTTTCTGGGAGGGGGGGGGGGGGGCAAACCCACATGCTTTCCACGCGTTTTGCCAGTGTCTCAAGTTTTCCTAACGGGGCTGCAAGGCCCATCATATACATGAAATGTGCGTATGATAGACGTAATCTAGCATGATACATGCAATATATAAGACGTTAGGTTTGGTAGGTGACTTTCTTTCTTGGCTGCGTGTTTCTTGCTTTTTTTTGTCTTCTTATCAGGATAATTCATGCTTTGTCTTCTCATGTGAGACGTCATAATAGCATGCACTCAACGAATGGGGTGCGTAGACATTGTCTTGTTGGTGGTAACCCACATGCACGCTTGTGTCTATGCTACACGGCGGACATTTAATGTGTCTATCTTTCTTCTCCTTATTAAGAAACGGCATTGCCGAATTCGTGCTTACAATCGATGGAATGAAGGCTTCCATAAGAAAGTCATGCGCACAACTAAGAGACATGCAAACTTGCCGTCTTTATTCATGGAGGCTTCAAAGCATTTCTTGAGTCTGCACGCTCGACACTGGTTGCGGTGGGTTTTATCGATGGGGCACCTGCCTTTTTGGTCACCCTGAGCCTTGCAAGTGTACACACGGTTCCTGTGTATGCTGCGCTTGAAAAATCCCGAGCATCCTGCAAATTGGAACGATTCGTAAGTACACTATTTCTTTTGTCCAGTCAAACTGAACACCAAAGTACACGCTGGACCACCGCCGTGATCCATTAGCCCTCATAAAGTTGTAACCCAGCGCGGTCGGCTTTGAGCGTCACAGGTGGACTTTTTGGCATCATAGGATTGAAGAGGTTCGCTAGCAGCCAGTAGTCCAAGCATAGGGGGGGGGGGGGGAGGCACAGTGGGCACGTGTCCGTCTTAGGTTCCGAGGGTCTCTCGGGCCCTCGGAACCTACGATAAAGGGCGCGAAAGGCCAGCCGGAGATCTTTATCAGGGGCCCCGACCCGCAGGCCCGGGCACTCCAATGCCAGGCAGAGGGCCCTGCGCGCTGATAAGGGACCCACTGAGCCGATAAGGGCTTATATTTTGGTCGGACACCACCAGTAACACAGTCAGCTGTGTCGCGGCATCGGCCTGAGGGTCCATTGCTGAAACAGGGACAAAGCCGGGGTCAGTGATGTACTTTGCTCGGGGCCCCACAGTGCCTAACAGGGGCCCTGTGTTGTCAAGGAGCCCCGAGTCAGGCGGAAGCAGCGTTCAAAGAGGCCCAAAGAGCCTAAGAGGCCTAAAGAGGCCCAAAGAGCACCGCGTCCGACGGTCAAGGACCCGATTGGAGCGTCTAAATGCGTACAGGGCTGATAAAAGTCTTACTTAGTTACCCTAACTTCTGAAGAAGGAGCCTCAAAGTAGCGGTCAGAGGACCCTTTGCGCCAATCGGGGACCTCCTGAGCCAATATGGACCTGTATGTCGGACAGGTACCAACGTACCACATAGTCGACTCCGTGTCAGTATGGGCCTGAGGACCCACTTCCTGATCAGCTATGAAGCAGGTGTCAGTGATTTACACTGGTCTGGTACCTTGTCTCTGTCAGGGGCCCACAGCACCTAACAGTGTCCTGTGCTCATAAGGGCCCCAAGCCGACAAAGGGAAGTGCTCGATGAGGTCCAAAGAGGGGCCCGGGTGGCCCACCGGTACCAACGATCAAAAGCCTGGTTGGAGGGCATAAGGGCCCGAGAGACTGGCTGTAGGTCACGAAAAGAATCGCGGCCCGTAGGGTCGTGGCCTGCAATGTCAGTCAGAGGTCCTTGCACAGGTACTCTTGCACCGTTTGAGGAACCCCTGAGACAATGCGGATGTCTAAGTCGGTCAGAGACCACTAAAACCGAACAGTCGGCTCCATATTTGTCTGAGCCCTCGAAAACCATGTCCCAAGCAGAAACGAAGCCGGGGCCCGTGATTTGCAATGTACGGGGTCCCGGACGTTAATGAGGGACTCCTGTGGTGGCTGTAGGTCACATTAGGGATCCCCGCCCATAGGGCCGTGATCTCAAATGTCAGTAAGATAATCTCTTGCATCGACAGCGACCCCTGAGACGAAGCGTTCATCTATTTCGGCCAGAGATTACGAGCAACGAACAGTCGGCTCCATGTTGGTCTGAGCTGTGGGGGCCCATTTCTCAAGCAAGGATAAAGCAGGGCCTGCGATTCGCATTGGTCGGGATCCAGTATCGCTCAGAGGCCCACAGTGCGTAACAGGGCCCCTGTGTCAACGAAGGGCCTCGAATCAGTCAGGGGAAGATCTGTTCAACAGGGACAGGAACTGGAGCCCGAATGGCAGAGGGTCTCTTGCGTTGGTCGGGGCCCTCTGACAGCTGAAGGAAACAAGAACTTGTGATCATTGCTGACATTGAGGTAATAGAAGAGTCCTGTGCCATTCAGGGCTCCCAGCACCGCCTGGTGGGCGCTCCAACCCTATTGCAGTATGGGCCCGTTAAGCCCAGCTGGGGTTTACATGTCAATTATGTGACCCCCTGCGGCGAGCAGGGATGCTCTTGCGCTAATGACGGTTCGTGCGTCGATCCGGGTCAACTGCGCGGATCAGAAGGCCTCCCGCGTCAGTGAGCGAACCAACATGATATGGATGTATGCCTCTAAGGGCCTACCGATCGGCCAGGGAATACCGCCTTGTGTCGCCGGAATGACGACTGGAAAACATACCGCAGTTAGGCAGAATTGCCCTGCAGCCGTCGACCGATAACAGCAATTTGCCCGTAGTGTTGGATTTAAGAGGGACCCTCTACGGAAAGAAATAGGGGGTCTCATTAGTGTTGAATGGATTGGGTTGAAATGACTTTTAACCGCACAACGCCATCCCATGTTTCCCTGAGAACGTTCATTATTTTGTAGAATTCACTAGTGAAACAAAGCCCATCAAAAGGTTTGAACCTGCACGCCGGGTTCCTACAGTGTAATGGTTAACACGCCTGCGTTAACCGCTGCGCGTCTGGGAAACTAGAGGTACGGGGTCTGATTCCCCGCGGTGCCTGACCTTCCTGCCAGGGTGAGAGGCTGGCGGCGCCATATAGCCCCAGCAGCTGAGTACGTCATAAAACGTCAATGGCAATTCCGTAATCTCGGGGAGCAAGGATAGCGACGGCTTGGTTCGCAGTTTTCGTAAAACCGAACTGCGTTGACCACTGCAAGTAATGCTAGGGGGAGGCCGGGCGCCCAGCAATGGCTAACGTAAAATGATGTCTCCGAATGTCTTTCGAAGTGAATTCGGACAGCTTTTAAAAAAAATTGTACCGAATGGTTTGTACGGGTGACCTTGGGTTCACAGTATCTGCTATGTATAGCTTGTTGCGTGTACCCTGAAGCCATCACGCAAGTCGCACCGTCCAGTTCAAGGGATAACTTTGCCTCCGACCCTGCGCCAGACAGGAATGGGGAGGACTGTATGTGCCGCACAGAGCTGCGACACGGCAGCCCCGGGCCAGGGTTAACCGCATTGGTCAGTGGCCAGCTGACCTTTTCATTTTAGTTAGGTCAAACAATGGGCCCGCTCTGAGACTCGTGCCCAGTGCCGCTGGATTACGAGTCCAGCATCTTTGCCCCTAGACCACGGAGGCAGCCGTTAAATGATTCAAAGTTTTAAAATTCCACATTTTAACGATTACACTGGAAAATATATATTTTTACGAGTTTGGGGTAGCTGTTATCAACTGTTAATCTGTCCTCTGGAAATATTAACAGTCACAGCAGCACAGAAAATATAAATTTTATCTTTACTCTCACAGTTACACCACTAGATTCCTGCACCGCTTCGCGGTGCTGTAAAGGCCAATACGCTACTGTCATCAATCTAAAAGCCGCACAGGTAAAATGTACGTCCGGAAGTATCTGTAAATGCACCATGTGGTGTAAAAAAGCGTTAAAACTTCCTTCAGATACGTCAACATTTTCGTTCACCTGTTGACCACGGCCTAATATGAGCTGCAGCACCAACGCTGTGTAGCCTAACGGGACTGAAACGCCTGGCGTCAAATTTTGTGTTACTGAGATATGCGAGCGCGCATGCTTAAAACTGTGTTACATAATTTGTATCACCAATCAATTCTGACTGAATGTTGACCACATCTAGACAAACATGACCTGGCCATATTAATGCAAATTGTCGACCCGTTTTGATATTCAATCTACATTCGCGGAATCATTATCATCTCCGTACATCCCAGATAAAATTTTGACAAAGTTTCTGAGTTCTATCGGTTTAAAAAGAGTCCACTAGGCCATGGTAAAATGAAAAGCGCCGGCGGTGTATGTTACGCAGTCATTTAACAGATGATGATGTCAGTTTATTTACTATAACCTTAAGGCAGAATCGATCTTGCGGTAGCATCTGCTCTGTATTCAAGTCAAAGAAGGTAAAAATACGTAATTTATATATATATATATATATATATATGTGTGTGTATATATATACATATATTTATAAGCAAACAAGTCCTCAATAAGAAATTGGTCACATCCGACGATTTTGGAGGGCCCTTTTACTGTCAGGGAGCCCTTTGCCAATCCTGTGCCCCCCTCCTTGCCAAGCACCTGGCTGCAGTAGCAGCTGACCAAAAAATAGCGCGGTCTGGCGCAAAATAGGTGCGGCGTAGCAAGTGCGGTACAAAACCATTCCTCTGAAGCAAGATATCACCAAAACACCGCTCGGAAATGATCGTTGAACTGGAACTGCATGGTCTGATGGTGGCTGGAGGATGTCCGGGAGCAGTTCGGCCTAACAGGTACATGAGTGTACAGTCGGTCACGTAAATATCGCCGTGGTGGAAATGGCGCAATCGTCTCCGCGCAAAGCAGTTTTGGATCCATTGCACTACGATCATTTTCGTGGAAGACTGGGACCCTTTTCTTACGTATCTGTGTAGGCTGTACCCCGTGGCCGTGACTCACGAGAAATCGTTTTTTTTTAGCATTACCTGGTTGCTAATTGCTGCCAAGCGAATAACTGTCGTAAAACGGACGGTACTTAAGTCCATATGAAAAGCTAAACGCGATTTAGAGGTGCCAACATTTCCATCTTGCCTATAAAGCAGGCCCACCGCACTGGAACCGCAGAGCCGTTCAGAGATGTTGGCTCACACTGGTCCCACGCTCGGGCACTGGACATCACACGCCCCGTCACAGCGTCGTTGTGGTTCGTGCCGGGTTATGGTGCAGTGAATAACGTCTGCATGACTTAACGACATGAACGGCACGAGTATTGTAGAGGAAATAGGTGCGTTGTTTGTAAACACTTGTGATCCGTTCTAAAGCATCTAAAACAAAGTTAGACTAAAATATGACCGAACTGTAACGTACTCCATCGTCACAATGCAGCTGGCCTGATGTGCTGCGTTGGGACATTGTGTTAGTTAAGGTGTGGTCCCTGTGTTGAACACGTCGTATTGGCGTGCACATGGATGCTGACCATAAACATAACAATGGCTCCTGTCTCGGCGGGAATCATTGTTATTGTGACTCAAAACAAATGTGCTAGGTCAGTCGGGAACGCAGCGAGAGAAGAAGCGTCTTGCGATGAAAGTACCCGAAAAACATGGTTACCTAAACCGAAGTACGGCTGTTCTGATGCTTATATTCTTTACTATTACGGAGAACATTAACCTTTTTTAACACTACGCAATATTTTTGACGCAGGAAGTTTGAGACTGTGCGTCCATTTTCGAGGTGCTATGTACAAAGTCAAAATGCTTCAGAGTTGTAGGACTTTGGGGAATAGAATATTTTAAGATGGGATGTTTTATCCGACTTGTGATGTTGTGACTCCTGCAGCATATATCATTTTGATGGTGTAAGGACTTAGATATTCAAGGATATCACGTAAGTTGTTCGGTGCATTAGGGAGGAACACATTCACCTGGATAAGACAGTGGTATTAGCCGTATTCCTCGGAAAAGCCAGGATAATAGAAATATAGCCGGTTTGTTATTTCGGCAACATGCCGTCATCGAAACAATAGCATAAGCTATCGCCATTGTTCCGTTGAATGCATGTTGCCGAAATATCGACCCAACTAGATCTTCATTCTCCTATTTTCTTAGAGGAATAAGACTAATACAAAACAAATAATAAATAACAATAAAAAAGGAAGAGGTCTCATTCTGGGATATCGCTTGCCGTTTTATTTCTAAGATTTAACCACTGGATCCTGCGACAACATAGGAGATCTTAAAAAACCACAGTCTAGCAGTTGTGGTTGGTGGGACAGCAGTCAGCTGTCTATCGCGCAGCACTCGTGGTTGGTAAAATGCCACAAGTGAAGCCAAGTTATTGGCAGCCAAACGTAACGCTATTTTGAAAGACTTGTCTTGGCTGACGTCGAGGGAAACCAGTTGAAACTCAATCCGAAAATCATAGGAAAAAGGAAACTGCAAACTGATGGCTCGAAAGCTAGTAGCGCATCTACAAGAGTAATAAAATGTGCAAGCCTTCCTGAATGATGCAGAACTTTCCAGTTTTCTGTTGTATGACCTGTTATCAAAATAATTGCGCTCTCTTGATCACATAATTTACCCGCTTGATCACTCGCAAGTCGCAAGTGTCAAATTCAGTTTTCACAAAAGCTTGAAAACGTAGTGGATCTACCTAGGCCGATTCGAAGTTATTCCTGCCAGGTCCACAGGGTATTTCTAACGTCCCGGCAGTTTCTGGCCAAATGCTACTTTTGTCAAAGTGACCCCTGGGCTCTTGGCTCCCGGCAAGCCTTTGATGCTCCGAAATTGCTGACCGGCAACTAGTTGTATTGTATTTTCGTAAGATAAGCCGTACCTGTCAAGGGCAAACAGCCGGCCCAAAAGCGACTCGAACCTACTCCGCCACGGGTAGTTGGATCGGAAGAGGACCAACTGAACCATCGGGACCGCTCTAACAAACCGAGCCATTGGGACCGCTCTCACCAAATGAGCCATCGGGACGGCCCTAACCAGCTGAGCCATCGGGACGGCCCTAACCAGCTGAGTCATCGGGGCGGCCCTAACCAGCTGAGCCATCGGGACGGCGCTAACCAGCTGAGCCATCGGGACGGCCCTAACCAGCTGAGCCATCGGGACGGCCCTAACCAGCTGAGCCATCGGGGCGGCCCTAACCAGCTGAGCCATCGGGGCGGCCCTAACCAGCTGAGCCATCGGGACGGCGCTAACCAGCTGAGCCATCGGGACGGCCCTAACCAGCTGAGCCATCGGGACGGCCCTAACCAGCTGAGCCATCGGGACGGCCCTTACCAGCTGAGCCATCGGGGCGGACGTGCCCAAGATGACATCCAATGCCGTTTGCAACCTACCGTCACAAGAGTAGATGCCGTAATGTTTTCCAGAGCTTCTGTCGCCACACACGTTGCACGGGATGTCCAGGAGCCGGTCACCTGAAACGGTCGTAAGGCGTGTCGAATGTGCGGTCCAAACTGTTGTTGAGCATTATCATCCCTCGCCTTCCTGCAGTTATGAATTTTGCTCTATTAACGGACCACCATGGCGTTCGATCTTTGTGTGGAGGTCGTGCAAAGCAGCAGATTGGATTCGGTACCTCACATTGTCTGCTTACAATTCTGCGGATTTCTTAGGTATCTTTTTGTATACTTGTATGTTGTAAGTTTAACATAAACACACAATTCTACCTTATTGAAGTTAAACACATGATAATGGGTTTTTCTAAGAAAACAAGATTCTTGCCTGAATATTAGTTAAGGTTCAAAGTTAACATGGAGTCATTTTAATGTTAAGTATATTACGGGTACAGCATGAGCCAACTCTCAACGTACGCTGACCAGTATGAGGAAGCCTTGACCTGAATGAATCTGATTGAGCTCAGGCAAAATTTAGTATTAAACGACCCGATCCTTCCCCGGTCATGACGTTCTTCACATGCCAGTGTTATGGCTTAATTGATATGCTCTCTATATTGACTGTATTACACTAATATATTTGCAGCACATAACCACAGCGACAAGATGTTTGCAGGGGCAAGTAGCAATATTTTTATGTCAAGTTGTCAACACAATTGCATGACGCCTGTTGGACAAGTCACGGTTTTTGTGCAGAATTGCAAGGTGATAACATTGATTGTTTCCTATTGGATTAACGTGGGCTATTTGTTACTAGCAAGTACCCGTGCACAACGGGGGTCGAAACCGGACCAAACTTGGACTGCCCGAAAGTGTAGCAGCAAGCGGTCAATGCGATTTCTCTGCAAAACAAAAATTAACAATCGCATTGGTACAAACATGAGGTACTGTAGGAAATAAACATTCGACCGCAATCCATGGACCTATTGGTTTGGGAAATACTTCTAAAACCAGTCCTGGATGTGAAACGCTGCTCGTAAACCAAGAGCTGTCGCGTCATTGAAATCAGATGTGCCAATAGCCAACAGTGCCCGACATTCACTCGAGTTATGTGCATTCTTTGCCACTGCTTTCGTCATATTCAACGGAAATGCGAGACACAAATAATCATTTGGTCGGATGAAATGGCCGCACTTTGGAGCACGCTCAGCTGCCAGCCACTAGCAACCGCCAGCCACCAGCAACCGCCAGCCCCAAGCAACCGCCAACCGCCAGCAGTTTCCAGCCGCCAGCAACAGCCAGTCTCTAGCAGCTGCTCGCCGCCAGGAACTACTAGCCGCCAGGAACTACTAGCCGCCAGCAACCGCCAGTCGCCAGCAGCAGCCAGCCGCTAGCAGCTGCTGGCCGCCAGGAATTGCTAGCCGCCAGCAAAAGCCAGCCGCAAAAAAACACCAGCCGCCAGCAACAGCCAGCCGCCGCCAACTCTCAGTCGTCGGCCACTGCCAGTCGCCAGCATTTAATAAATGCAATTTACAATTACTTGCAAATTGGCGCGCGAAAATCAGTGATCTTCTTTACCTGGCATGTCGTCATGGCTGAAGTGTGTTATCACAACAACCACCCATTTTCATGCGCGTACGTCTCACCTAGATCATGTTTTTTAAAGATTTTTGTTAAGGTTTTTAGGTCAGATCATCTACATAACATGAGGACCATCTCTGTCACTACCTTCAAGTAACGCGGTTTACGGGCATCTCTTGTCGTTTTACAAACCCCGAACGTTCAAGTGGATGCTAGCATAATTCAATGCATCAACAAATCGCGGCTGTGAAACCGCTCCAGTTCCATTTTCAAAGCCGCTCGTCCCCAACCAGATCAATTCCCCAATCGCCAAGCTCAGCGCGAAAGATAAAATCGTAAGAGGCTTTCTGGTGCCGATTTAACGGGAGCCAAATAAGTCAAACGTATGAAACACGACTTCCCTTTTAGCAAGCAAACAGTCCCTTAAATCAGGAATGATACGGTGCCTTTGGCCAAGTAATTTCCGTGCCGTCATAGGTCACACATGCTAGGGGAAATAAATCGGACATTTTGCAGCATGCATCAACCTGGTCATCTTGCAATGTGCATCGTCTTATAGCTTCAATCTCGATTCAGCATCGATTCAGTTTGCCTTCTGTTGTCCCAAACTCGGCGGCATTGATCGTGCATGTGTGAAGGCACCACAAATTTCGCGCAACTGGACGTTGAAGGGCCGATGAGGGGCTGACCCGACCCACAACTGAGGAGCCGGCCAGGCCAGCAACTGGACGTTGGAGGGCCGATGAGGGGCTGACCCGACCCGCAACTGAGGAGCGGACCAGGCGAAAGCTGTCCAGTGATAACGCGTGTGTTGGCGGTTGAACTTTTCTAAGCTTGAAATTCGAGCATCAGTATTAGTTCATGCCACCACTGGCCGTTATGAGATTGCGAGACTCCCTCCCATGATAAGAGCCTCCATGGCAGATCATGAAGCATGCCCCGTAACTCCTGGCGACTTTCATAATAATGATTTTCAGAAGCTTTCAGTTTTTTCACCACAGCCTTTTGAAATAGATTTGAAGTAAAGTGCAGGTCAGAAGGGGTAGGGAGCGAGCTACGGAGACCGCACTAAATACGTGCAACCAAGCCCCGATAAGGAAAAATGTCTGCTTTTCATGCCTTTAGGACTTTTTTGCATCCCAAGAACCTGCAATGGCAGTAAGTCGCCCTTTGCAGATTTACTGGCATTATACATGCTTGAGAGACTAATTCTACGACATTATGGGCCAACTATGCGGCCCAAAATGTTGGGATGGTACAGTGCTTGTGAACTGTGTGGCACGGTAGGCACTAGAGTGTGCTACGATGGCCTCCTCGGCTATTATTATACACGTGATGTCTGTTCAGTAAGTTATATTTGTAATGAATTTTTGCTCACGGACCTTGGTGACAGAATCAAAAAGTTTAAATAAAAGGAAAAAATAAAAAACTAACCTTTAAACTTTTCGGCATTGTAAGAAAAGTTCGTGACCGAAATTCATAAAAAGCAGCTTGATTCACAAATATTACATGCATAATCATTGTCAGGAGGTTTAAATTATCTTGTTTTCACTCTTTGTATCGATATTAACAACGTAGCACGCTAAATAACAAGCGCAAAAAAGCACAGGTGGTGCTCGTCACCTCAAGGAAAAATGTCTGAATAGTTCAAAAAAGACTCACCAGGGCCCACTTACGCACTCTAACATAGACAAGCCATTTTCTAGCTGGTATTTCCATAAACATGAGCGGATGAGTCTGACAGTGGCTGGCTGAAGAGCGGCAACAATTTATCAGCTGATCAGCAGAGTCCGCTTTAGGCGGTGGCTTTCGGGTCAACGCGATCTCCTGAGCACTTATTAGCTTCCACGTGTCGACACGAGCTCTTCTGGAGCGAGAATTCACGTGTGGGCGAGGGTGGGTGATTCGTTCGGGATTCATAGCTATAAATCAAGTGTACTAGAAAGACGATGGCTAGAGCAAAAACGTAATCATACCTGAATAACAAACTACTTGGTTCTTGCTCATACCATTGCTAGAGATCATTTATGTGTATTGTGTTCAATATGTTTAGAACACTTCACGCTGAGTGGCTTAGCTACACAAATAAGATCTTCAGCGGTAAACGCCACCTTATGAATGCTCATATTGTGGTGGTGCGTACGCGTTAAGATTAGCAATAGCGCTAAATCAACGCGCCTTGCTTGCACGCACCCGCGAGACGATGCAGCTCCGCCTGATGCGGAGCTCCTCCAGCTCCGATGCCTCCGGCCTCGTTCAGTCACCTTCGCTTATTGGCCTACTCTGCCCACACGCCAACGTGCAGCCTTTTTGCATTGCTATGATTAAGCTGGACGTGGTACCATCGTCACGCGTATGAGTTAAGGCAAAACACAACCCCGCTTAATGTGGACTGGCGACTCCAGGGGCTTCCAGCAACGGAGTCTACAGATAGGTCGGGATGAATTTCGGGATATTCAGGTGGGCGTGCCGTCCACGGCCATGCCCAGCCAATCCTCAACTAGAAGTGAGTTGTAACGCGGCCTATTGCATTGCGGCAGACATATGGGTGATGTCTGGTGCATACAAACGCCAGGGGCGGTTCCAGGGGCACTATTGGAAGATTGGGGTGCCCACCTGCCCCCATAAGCCACGCTAACGACCTAGTCCTTAAAATTTTTGATATAAGTTCGCGTTGAAAGGAAGCTGTTAAAGTTCACATCAAGTTCACATTGAGGTGCACTGTTAAATCCCGTAATCGCACATCGAACCTCGTCGAAATCGTACATCGAACTGCGTTGAATTCATATGAACCCTCAAGCGACAAAAATGGTCCCCCGGGTACTTTACTATGGTCTATGGTCTGTGGTACTATGGTCGCGTAGACCATAGTGAAGTGTTCCCCAGCCGCATGGCACGACGCGAAATTGATAGCACGAAAATGAGTCCAAGCCCTTTTGGGCAGCATTTGCAATGCTTTTTCAGGAGTGTGATTCGTAGCGGAGACAAACCTGAACAAGCGAAGGGGACCTCATGTCATGACACATTGGTTTTGAAATTTGTGAACGTTGATCTATGTAAGTAATGAGCCTTAATGGGAAACCGAAATCCAGTCGCATCTACGGACTTCAATAAGGCATTTGACGGACAGTTAATTGACAATACGTTTTTCAACTATAAGAGAGTCTGGCTCAGCTTTAGAGCTCAGTAGCGTGGTGACTTCTGAAGATGCTCAAGAAGCCAATCAGACGCGGACATTCCGTCCATATCACTGACGGGCTGTCAATCGCCGTCCATGTCACTGACCGGCTGTCAATCTCCATCCATCTCGCTGACGGACTGTCAATCGCCGTCCATCTCACTGACGGGCTGTCAATCGCCGTCTATCTCACTGACGGGCTGTCAATCGCCGTCCATCTCACTGACCGGCTGTCAATCGCCACTTTGTTGCTATCCAAGCCAGTGTTCGACAACATCACCGGAATCAGCAGTTTCACCGACTAAGATGCTGCATTTTCGTAGTAAGTCAGGTACTTTGGCAAAACGCAGGCTTTCCCTTGATGCATATTGTCTCAAGAAGCGCTCAACTACCACGCGTCTAGAGCATTCTATACAGCCTGTCAAGAGCAGATTACGGCAAACTTTTGACGACTGAAACACCGGTTTCTGTACTACATCTTATCTTACAGCGTTATAGACTGGACGAGATGTCTGGGACCACGTGGGCCTCGGAAGCTCCGCTCAGGGGGCTAGGCTTTTACTACGCAGCATAGCGAATAACGGAGCATGCTCATTGCATGCAAAATACGCCATGGGGGCCTCGACACATGATATTCTAAACACTTATAGCTTCGGGCACCGCGTCTTTGAGGTAAAATCCGAGTTAACTGGTTTCGAGGAATGTTTTCGCTGTGGAAGCACACGTATCGTATTCTGTTCACGGCATATTGTTGTGGATGGCGAAAGATGGCCGTAAGCATTTAGAACGTAAAACATGATGTGTCGGCTTGTGCATGTGCTAGCTATGCCCTTTACCATGACTCATAATCAATGCACTTACGTTGCGTTGCATTAGGACCATTTAACCCACAAAGCCGCGAGACAATCGCATAGCAATCAACAACCATGCAGCTGCGCTTCAGCCGGTACGTTGAATAGGCGCGAGCTTGGAGCCAACTCACCGGCCCCCATGCCCCTCCGGTACCTCCTGTCCACCTCCGGCTCCATGACCGGAAACGGATCACTTCCGGCCGGCGCGGCGGACCGACTGATGCCGTCGACATGCTGCCCAGCGGACTTTATACCGCCGCCATTTTGTCAGCGCGGGTGAGCGCGGTGGGAATGGGGCAGGTGCGAAATCTCCCGGCCGGCCGGTGGCGGCGCCAGCGCGCACGCGCGTTGCCCGGGGGCGGTCGCGCGGCGTCGTGCCGTCTCCACGGGCGCGGTTGGTCGGCTGTCACTTGCGCCATCAAGTCAGGGATGTCCGCCGGACGTGGCACGGCAGAGTCGACCTAACCAGCAGCGCCGCAGGGCAGACGCGGACGCGCCGGCCGGTCACGGCCAGGTCAAGGCAGCGGCAAGGCGAAGCCCGTCTCGAAATGGTGGCGAGCGTGGACGTTTTGTCTTTAGACCCAATTTTCCAGCAAATGTTACACTGCTAGGAGCTCGGTAACGTAAGTGCGGTGGAAGATCCGTCTCGTAATGGGTGCGGTCAGATGATCTCGATGAGCGCGGAGTAATGAAGACCTGCCGGTCGAACGATATCCAGAGGACAGATGACCACTCTATTTAAGATCTTAACTGAACAAGGTTTCGGGAAGTTTTATGCTCCGCAAGGCTAACCTTGGGGCGCTGCGGCTCTCTTATTTTCATGATATTATCCAATCTGTTTAAACATGTGAAATCCCATCATTACGCCAAACCCTTTTCATAATACCCAGGTGCCATCTGGATCTCTCCATTTCGCAAACATCTTCCTTCCATAATCCATGTCAAACTAGCCAACCCCGTCCGGACTCAAATAAAATATAAGGCTCACCAGGCGCAGAAAGATGCGTGCATTCCTTCCTAAAAGCAGCATTCAACCCTTCACTTTGTCCTGATCTACCCACGCCAGCCACTCGCCTCACTCAGTCCAGTCATAACATGTGTGGCTTCGAGTTTTCTTGATCCCTCCCAGTCCAATCCAAGGATGAATCCCAGAATGAATGTGAATTGATCCGGTCCGTGGATGGTTCTTCCAGCCGTGAACAAACAGAGGCAACGAACATGGAACAGCTCACAAGGCCGTGAGTCACGAAATGTACAAGCTCAAAAGGCCGTGCCAGGGTCATAATCACTCACACGTGGCAAGGTAACGCGTTTGAGGTTTACTGCTTATGGCTCAATAGAAATGGATGAGCAACGCTCCTGGTGCGGTGTTGGCCAAGGTTTGTAAGGTAACATACGGGCTAGCGCTACTAAAAGGAGTTTGGACAGAATTCCAGCGGAATCGCCCAGAACCTAGTGAAAACCCCTTGGCTCAAGGGGGGGGGGATTGCCCCGTGCCCCCCCCCCTTGGCTATGTCCCTTTGGCTGTTATGTCGTGAATGTGATAAACAGAAGAGTCAGATATGTTACCGTGCATGACCTTTAATGGATCTTTCACTGTCTGTTGCTGACATGTGCTATTCTACAAGCCGTCTTCGTGCAGAACGGCACCGATCGGCCAAACAGAACTGGATACTTTCATTGGTCATCTTCGAACAGTGAAGTTACACAGTCTCACCTCACGTCGCTCTTAAGGCTTTAATAACTTCTGCTGAAAAGGTAACTAGCAGCATGTACAGCGTGTGCTGAAAAAAGCATGGGCAACCTATTCTCCAAAGATTTTTCGATTTTACTCCACGGAACCATGGTTGCACTTCACGTGTTTCAACAGACACCGTCACGTCCATAAAGCAAACTGGCCAAGCCGCCACCGCCTCCCACTTCATGCCGTTGACGGTCAGACCGCTGCCTCTCTCCCGCCGGACTGCACCCCGCTGTCTGCTTCAGTGACCACTTGCGCCGCGCCGGCCTCCCCCATGGCCTACGCGTGACCACACCCCGCTGTGTCCGCTTCAGCGACCACTTGGGCCGCGACCTCCAGAGACTGCGCGTGATCAATTTGGGCCGAGGCCTGCAGGGACTGCGCGTGATCAACTTGGGCCGTGGCCTGCAGGGAGTGCGCGTGACCACACCCGGCTGTGTCCGCTTCAGTGACCACTCGAGCCACGACCTCCAGAGACTGCGCGTGAGCCACCAAAGCCGCCTCCATTAGGCAGAGCGGTCGCTGTTTGACCAATGGATAACTTTGTCGCCTCTTGATCACGTATCCGACGGCGCCACTGTTTGCCCGGCGAATCCGCCGGCTCAAAAACGGCGACTCGGCTGGCGGGAGGTGGCGGCGCCGGACACAGGCTGGATCAACAGGCCAGGGGAGGGGAGAGGAGGAGAGGGCGAACGGCAGCGACCGCGCCACAGGAGAGGCGAGGGGAGGGGACCATTGCCGCCACAGGAGGCAACTGTAAAAAGCAGCATATTTGGTATAGCGGAGCGGATGGGCAAAGATGGCAGACCTCCGGACAAGCTCGGCACCATCAAAACCGAAGCGGTCAATGCCACTTTCGAGGGTTTGCCATCACAAAGCCGGATCCCACGCGACGTGGGGAGCGCTGCTGCAACAGTTGTTGCTCGCCGAGAGGCAGCAATTAGTTTTTCGGGTCTTTTGGAGAAATGCCGTACAGTCCGGTCGATATCTTAGTGCCTGTAACCAGAAATATCCCAACCTCAGAAAACTTTTAGCAGATCGATCATTCGTGCCGAGGACTATAAGTGCGTGTCATTGGGGCTTTCCGATGCACACAGCTGCTGAAGCTTTCTGGCATCGCCTGCCTTTCACTCTGACAGGAATGGTTAGAAACGAACTTTTAGCCAACCGTGGTACCTGGAGCGCTTCAATTTTAATCAGCATGTTGCCAACTTATCGAGGGTAAAGAATCATTCCTCATCTCCGAAGTGGGAGCCGGGGCACTCAATTGTCAAAGGACCCAAACTACCGTCATTCGTCTGACGTTTGAGCGCCTGAGGTGAGACGACTCAACTTGTGTCTGGCGCTGGCGCTGGGGCACCAGACACCGAGACCGGGGTCAAACGTCGATCATGCTTTTGTGGAGAGCGTGCTAGTGCCACCTCCCATTAGTGTTGTGCAAACGTGACCTTTTCAAGTGGCCATCGACCGATCGAGGGCACGCTTGCTCTGAGAAAGGTCAAGCCTGGATACTGTGACCGCGGACTGGCCGGACAGGCGGCGGGCGTCCGTCAGTGACGTTTTCAACTTAACAGTGTTGATGCCGGTAACGGTTTTGCATTTTTATCGTGCTCGATTACGCCTGCTTGGTGCCTTTCCATCATGTAAATGTACGTGCTGCAGATCCACGTCGCTTTACGTCAGAAATACAACATAGGCAGCATCTCCGACTTTCGAATCATCACATTGTCCTGCCACATAGCATATACTTGTTGAGACATACTATAACAAGCCTTTCGTAATTGGTTGAGATTTCGACTCAGCGCGTATCGTCCGTAGCCCTTGGTCTTCCATCCCCTTAAAGAAGTGCAGGAACGGCTGCGTGTGAGATACCATGTAGCACATGATTTCCCACTAAGTTTACCAAGTGACCATGAGTCTGCGAGCACGCCAGTCCCGTGCATCTCCAGAACCTTTGGCGCACCACACCGCCGTGCGGAGAGAGACATCGCCACCGTTTGATAAAAGGTCGTCATAAATACAAGCTACAATGGCTGCGGGTGCGCCAGCGGATAAGCCCGACGTCATCAGAGGGCGGCAGCGGGCGGGCTCGGGCGTCCGTTTTGTCTTCGCCTCGCTAATCCCGCCGGCGTCCAGGTGGTGACAGTGCCATTACGGTGACAAATATTGGCCGCCGGCGCCGCGGCGAGGCTGCCATCATGGCCAGCCACCGCCGGCCGGCGCGTGCCGTCCGACGGTGCTTCGAGGAGGGACGGCCGCGCATCGAGGAGGGGCGGACGCACCCCGAGAAGGGAAGGACGTGCCTCGGTGAAGGAAGGACGCGTCGCGATGGAGGGCGGACGTGCCTCGATGAAGGACGGACACACCTCAAGGAAGGACGGACGCGCCTCGATGAAGGGCGGACGCGTCTCGATGAAGGACAGACACGCCTCGAGGAAGGACGGACGCGCGTCAAGAAGGGACAGACGCGCTTCGACGAAGGACGGACGCGCGTCAAGGAAGGACGGACGCGCGTCAAGGAAGGACGGACGCGCCTCGATGAAGGACGGACGCGCCTCGAGGAAGGACGGACGCGCGTTAAGGAAGGACGGGCGCGCCTCGAGGAGAGGCGGAAGCCCGGCTGGCGGGAGTTTTGGGGATTCTACTGAATTAGGCATCACCAAGCATCATCGGTACCTTTCAGGGATTTCGCAAGAACATTTTTGAAATTCTGAACGTGTAGATGGCTTAAGGGGTGCCACCAACGGAACGGCCAGGAGGACCACTTCCCTATGGTGCCTTACATGGCAGCAACGATCGCGTTGTCTCAACGTTTTGGTCCTGAAGTCAGTCGGTCTCCCATGATCAGCTTTTATGCATCTACGCATTTTATGCATGTTTCACGAAAGACAGATGCGTTTTTGTGTGTCTTTTTTTTTTGCTTTCTTTGGCCCCCTCTTTTAACCAACACTCGTGGACGATTTACGGGCCTCACAGACAAGGGAATGTGTCTGCGAAACAGGGACCAGACATCAACTATGGTGGATTTAATATCAAGGTCAAACTTAAGGCTAAACTTAAGGCTAAGTCATGAGTCAAGTGAGAACCATGACCACACTGCCACCGAGCTGTCATAAGCAACGAGCACCACCGCTGTTTCGCTTCCTTCCCTGGACTCACCAGTCCCGGCACAGTCCCAGTTTCGGTCTGATCCAGCTGACCTGACCCCGGTTGACCCCGACCGACTCCGCCCGCCCCGGGAGCTCAGAACTGACACAACCCAGGACGGCGATCTCTCCCGTACCGCGCAGGGTCGGCCCGACCATACCCTGCGACTTAAAACTGCGCCCGACCCCGACACCCCTGATCGAGTGTTTCTTGGCCCGCTCCCAGCGCCCTGAGGGCAGCTGGGGTGTTCGGGTCGGGGAGGGGATCGCGTGCCGCGTGGCCGGCCGCCAGCGCGTCCGGCCGGCGCTGCCTTCCCGTCGGC